TGTGAAATTCAATGGAAACGTCAGCTCAACTCATATCATTGTGGGATAATTCTACTACCAGTCCTTCATCCCCTTAAAAGAAATAGGATGAATACATCTCATTACACTGATTTACTGGTAGTCTCGAAACCCTACTTACTTATGAGGGATATACTGTTTCAAAACAATTATTCCTTAGGATTAGTAGACAATTGCATTTCAATTCTAGTTAACGAGATTAAGCGAGTTTGTATTAGGCGCAGAATTAAAAACTGGACAATTATACTTGGTTCCTGATCTTGCCTTCCTGTCAGCTTGCGAAAAAGTTGGGTGAACTACTGAAGAAATGGAATATAAAAACCATGTATAAAGAGAAATAAAAACTTTCTTGTGTAGTTCCTTCGTTCATTGCATATTCAGACCCTCTTTCTAAAATAGGCCGTTACAGGGTTTTGTGATTATGTGCGAAGGTCTATGCGGGCGAGACCTGTCAACCCATTCACGAGAGACTATGCGAACTCAAAACCTCCCGTGAAGGTCTGTGGGTCCAAAAATCTGAGCGCGCTGAACACATCGCCAATACAGGACATTCAATAAACTGGCACAAAACACACCGTTTTGCGGGTTACAGGCACTTCAGTCCAAAGCGTAAGACTATAGAAATGAAAAAAATGGTGAACGTCCTGAATAGGAGGAACAAGTGTAGAAAACTAAGTAGGAACTTTTTGTGGCTGTTGGATAGACTTAAGGAAAGGGAGAGAGAGTAGGTTCAGGATATACTTTGTAAGTATGGTTCGAGAAGAAAGTAACAAGGAAACCCGCGTGAGTGGGTTTTATGCATACGTCTCAACCTAACTTACCAACTCCTTTGCTCACTAATACATCCAAAAAATGCAAATTATTTTCCTTTTTTAACTCTATATTAGACTGAGAAAAATAAGGAGGCTGGATTCGCCAGGATTATCATACTACTCATGACATGAGCATTGCATACACAGAATAGACAATAGGCAGTAGCCCAATGCCAAACATTATTCAGCATTAGACGATCGTACGCTAGCTTCTGTATGATGAAACAGTTGCCACCGAACATATTTCCGCTTCGGGAAGTTAACTTTATTCATTTGCAAGCATGTAAAGTTTATAAAAAAGCGACCGGGGTTGCAGTCGACCACCTTATTCTCTTGGTTTAGTACATTTTTGCTCTATTTCGTAAAGTATGCAAGCTTGCTGTGATGATGTCTGTCACGGTGGTACAGACGAAAGCTTAGCACAGTTTCATCGGGGTCGCAGGACAGTAAGCAGAGGACTTTTACGCGACAATTCCTGTTCGATTTCCAGTGAGACAAAATCACGAATTTCTTCCAATTAACTTCCCCTTCGAGATGGAGAGTTGTGGCACAATTTTTGATGATTGTTCGTGAATAATGCTTTCTGGCTCTGACTATGTCAATCACATGATTGACAAAAACTTAGCATGGAGTCATCTAGAATTGTGGGACGATGAACCGAAGTCTTCTTCACACAATTCAACAGAAAAAATCCGATTCAACCCTCCTTCGCTATCTGGTGAGACCAATCTACGAAACGCCTCCATCCGCTTTCGCGAATGAAATGAAATATATGCCAGTATTAATCAACTATGGCAATTATTCCCAAACTTTTCCTAGTCGCAGCGCCCTTTTTCAATTTAAAATGTTTTCATGGCGCCCTACCCTAAGTATGACTATTCGTAAGTTAGACATAAAAATAAATAAAACTCGTGTATCTTTATTATTTTCTTTACTCTGTTAACATTAAAGTAATATTTAATAAGTAATGTGATGGATGAGCCTGCAAATCACTGCAGATTTTCTCTGCAGATTTCACTGAACTATGGTATTCTCTGGAACCAATTTTCTCTAAATATCCTAAATGTATCACTAAGCCCTGAAAACTTACCGGCTTTTTATACAAGATATAAATTCTCATCACAAGCAAAATTCAAGATATAGATGGAGTTAGATATGTTTGGTTAACTCACGTGTACTTTAGTGCGTCTTTGTTTGTGTGTGTGTTAACTCTGAGTTCTGTATGCATGTATTAGCATACATACAAACACAGACACATTCGAGTGTACGTGAATTAAACGAACCTTTCGATATGGGTCTTTGTCTTAAATTCTGCTCGCAATGAGTATAAATATATCATATCGAAAAAGCCGTTTAGTCTTTCTGACTTAATCTTTTGCAAGGATGAATTCCAGCTCTGATGATGTCCGTCATGTGACATGACGAACGAAGGCTCAGCCCGTTTTCGCCCGAAAGGTTGGAGGATCTCTCGTGGACGGCGTCAACCTGAACATCGTATTAAGGCCAAGAGGCAGCAGTACAACGCGAATCAGCTGACATCTTCTGGTGAGACTGACCTACGAAGCTCTCCATCATGTACTTCCAAACGAAATGCAGGTCTTCACAGCAAGCGTATGTCGGCTAATTCTTCGCATAAAGATTAGGAAACAAAGTTGCTCTCAAAGTTATGTGGTTGAATAGTGTCTCCGGCCGTACACCCGGCAACCGAAGATGCCCGAATCTGTCCATTTCAGAAAATTGTGACACTTGACGTCCGGCTAGGGCAGATGGATAGATAGACAGACAGACAGACAAACACATGTTTACTGTTCTGTCTGTTCATCCTCTTTCCCTTATTGCAGTCGGCCTTGGCTCATGTCATGTCCGCATTGCGTTGGATCTCAGTGACACGATGCAAATTTTGCTATGGCCGTACTGACAGCGACGTAAAGTGAGGGGGGTGATAAGTACAAAGTGTTTTATGAGGAGGAGCTAGTTGCACAATTGTGGCTAACCCTCTCATAGCATGGCCAGTTAAGTGTCCGTTTGCGCCGATACAATTGGCCCTCTGTATGTGTGTGTGTGTGAGAGAGAGAGAGAAAGAGAAAGAGAGAGAGAGGTTAGAAGCCTCCTCATGTGACACTCGATATGCCGGCATGAGAGTAGAAGTGGATGGTGCTAGCGGCAGTGGCAGTATCCGATGTTGCATTGGTTCGCTGGTGCTTCCGAGGCGTCGTTTGTCCTGTTGCTGTTGGTCGTCGTGGCGACCAGTCCCAGACCAGGCAACCCAACACCGGCCTCGGGCTACACGGCCAACTACTGTCCCACATATTGCCAGTGCTCGCGGATCGAGGCGGTGGGCCCGGAGGAGGGTTCCGAGGCCGGGCGCCGGGACTGGTCGATGGCGCAGTGTTGGTTGCCCGGCCAGACCGTCCGGTTGTCATGCGACCCGGACTGGCGAATTCTGCATCTGCACCGGTTGGAGGCAGCGGAGGAGGGTGAAGAGGCGACGGCCCAGTTGCTGGCGGCGTGTGACGGTGTCGAGCGTCTTGTGCTGGGCCGGAA